CCTTTCCCCCCCCCATCACCACCACCCCCACCAGCACCTCCCACCCAAGGTATCATGTGACCTTTCTGCTGACCTTAAAGAGACTGAGATGAGCCACGAAATGTAACCTGTTGCCCTCTAATCTATAAAACACTCAATAAATCCGATGGGTTATGTGAGGCGTGAACAGAGCAGAAGGTGAAGACATAAATAGTTCTTAGTAGGCACTTTCCAAATATGCATTCACACAATACTGAGCAACTGACACATTGGTAAGAGTGCAGTGTTTGCAGGATACCTCAGGTGGTGGCAGCTGGACCCCAGCATGGTCTAGGGCTAAAGCAGTGAAAACAGCATATTAGCTTTTTGGAATAGGAATATTTTATATAATTTTAATTTCAAATGTGGAAAAAAAAAGTTAAAAAAAAATAAAGAAATAAAAATACATTCATTATCTTTAAATTCTCTGCTGTCTGTGCAGGCAGCGTCTTGCACTTTCAGAGGGACTCGGGAAGTGTCATCTGACTTAAATGTGACACTAGAGTTAGAAAACTGCCCGGCATATGGGAAATGTAAAGCACTTTAATGCTGTTTACTCCTAACAGCTGAGTCACGAGATCAAAGTGCTTGATTTGATTGGATTTGATTTGAAGGGAAAGGTTTAAATAATTAGCTGATCAGTGGGCCTGTTTATTTTCCCGCATCAGTCATTTCTCAAGCACAAATGCCAAACCTTCTCTGATTTCCTCTGAGAGGATTTGGTGCTAGATAAAAACTGAATGTTTTCATCTTTGTGTCTAAGACTGTTAAAGTGGTGGCATCTTGGGCTTTGAGACATTATAACAGGCATTTTAACTATTTCCTGTCTTGCAAAGATAAAATAAAAACAGGTGCTTCTTCAGTGCTCTAACATCAACATTGACATTGAACTAACAACATCACCATAAACCTCTTGAACTGTAATGCATGTAGTTTTAAAATTATGGAATGAAAATCTGAGTATCTATCAGATTTCTGTTTATTAACACATTTTATTTTCTTAGTTTTAATTGTTTGTTTGTTTGTTTTTTACGTTTTTCTGCCATCTTTAAAAAGATGTGGGAATTACAAAGAACATTGGGATTAATAGTTTATGATGAAGTATAAAAATAACTTTTGACAATTTTTGCTGTAAAGGAACATTAATTATGCAATCATCGGTCCCTGTGAGAATCACATCCGTCATTTCTCCCGGTAAAAGCTGGCCGAAAACAGTCAAATCAATCAGTTCCTATTCTATAAAGAAAAATATGCTCGTTATCCGGGACTAAACGATGGCCTGTGTGGCTGTAAACCTGGACCAAGCTGAGCTGCTGCTGGCGTTTTATTACTGCGGGACTGCAGACTCGAGCCATTACTCAGCAAAAACAGCGTCAGGCGCACATGGAGCTGGTGCGCTGCAGCACATTACTCATGCACACAGCGAAGCACATGATTTGAGGCTGGGGAGGCGGGATGGGGGGCGACAGGTATGTTTGCAAACATGTAGGTAAACTCACAATAAATGCACAAAACGACAGCTTTTACAGCTGGAAGCAGACGCAGATACAGCCCCGCAACCGGGTCTGTCTCTGCTCACCGTGCAGGGCTGGGGGTGGGGGGGTCTTGTTTACTGTGACAGAGCTAAAAAGGCGCAAGTGTCGGCTGTACCTTGCTGTCCAGGACGCTGTCTCCCTCCTGGTGCGCCTTCACTTCTGCGCTGAGATCCCCGGCGGAGGCTGAAGCTGAGGCTGAGGCATCCTCCTGGCTCTTCCCGTCCTGCTGCGCTGAGTTCTGTGCTCCCATGGCCAACTCTTTTCGTCTTTGGCTACTTACGGTCTAAAAAAGCCTCCGCAATAAACGCAGCCAGAGCAGAACTACTGTGTTTAGGGAGCAAATATCCAAAGCGTCCGATGTACGATGCAGCTCCGCCGCGGGGTGGCCTGGATCTGGAGTGATGAAGCGTCGGGACTGGCAAACTCTTTCAGGACGCCCCCACCTCCTGCATCTCCCGTCAGTATCACATGGGGGGCTCCGGTGTGCAGCGGCACGCCTTGCAGGAGCAGAGCCGGTGCTGATTGAGGATAAACAAACGAGGGAAGAGGAGGGCAAGTAATTAAAAGGATAAAGGGCCTTTTATTCACACGCCGCATTAATCCGTTAGTTTTGTTCTGTTCCTGTAAATTAAATTTGAGCAATTTTAAAAACACAGCAATGACACGAGGGCAGAAATCCGACAAGTTTGAGCAGAAGTGGCAAACATAAGTGCAGACTTATAATTCAAGTGGTTTAACAACAAAAATGCATTCATTTTTTTAGGAATTAAAGACATTTTTATGCATAGAGCCCGATTGTCAGAGGTGCAGCTAAGACCTCTTCCCTTGTTGTCATGACAAATTTAATCAAAGATGCGGTTCATTCAGAATTTTGAACTTGCATTTAGTATCTTTTCACTGGAATATCTAACATGAGAAAAGAAGATAACAAAAGGTGGTTAAGAGGTGCAAACCACTGGTTACACTCTAGAACACGATTTGA